CCCAGCGCTGCTTACCTGGAGTAGCTCCGGGGTGGCAGCGGTGTGCAGCGGGGCTAAGGCGGGCTCCCTGCCTGCCCTGGCCCCGTGCCGTGCCGTGCCGTGCCATGCCGTGCCGCTGCTGGAAGCACCATGTCCCTGTGGTCCCTGGGGGAGGGGGAGCAGAAGCTCCGTTTCCGGCCAATGGGAGCTGTAGGGGCGGTGCCTGGAGGCGAGGGCAGTGCACAGAGCCCTCTGCGCCCCCACCCCCACCCCCACCCCCCAGGGGCCGCAGGGACGTGGTGCTGGTCGCTTCCAGCAGCAGTGCGGGGCCCGCGGCACCATGGGGGTGGCAATCTCGCAGGCCAGATCCAAAGCCCTGAAAAGCCGGATCCCGCCCGTGGGCTGTAGTTTGCCCACCCCTGATTTATGGTAAACAAAAAGATAATAGCTTTTGTTGGTTAGAAATATACAGAAGGGGAGTTACAATGCTTAGCTCCCTGAGGCGGGGGGTGAGGAATTTAAAGACTAATAGTGTTGCCAATAGCACTACCTCCCCTTAATTATACAACCTGAAAAAATACCCTTACCATAATTTGTGTGGCAATAAGTTGCTTCTAGTTCCCCTAGTGGCTCATTATAATATCAATGGAAAAACAGACCATAACTCTTAGATCTCTCCTACCATTTCAAGAAGCAATAACAAGAGTAAAAGTAATAAAGACAATATTAATAACTTCTTTCAGTGTAAGGTTGTTGGGTTTTTTAAAAAATGTATACTGTTTATTTTCTTTTCTCCCCCAAAGATATCCTTAGCCTGGTACTAATCAAAACAGATTTATTCCAACTGTGATATTAAACCCAGAAGGGGAGAACAGTTTATTTTTTTAAAAGCATCTACAGTTATACTCATTTCCCTTCTTCCTTTCATCTTTCGGTGATGATGATGTTAGTTAGTATAATTGGTCTTGTGTGTTTCAAGGAAGAACAAAACCAGACTCTGAGTGCCTATTTCTTCTCAACAAGCAGGTTCCACCATGACTCACCCTGCTCAACGTTCTCAGCAAAAGGGACAAATGAAATATTCCAGGAGCAATTTGCATGTGTTCACTGTAAAAAGCTACAGTAGATGAATGTGAACTCCTGTTATATTTTGACTCTTGAAAAAGTGCAGTCCAGGTGTTTCAAAATTTCCTCTTGTCCTGCAGGAATAGGAGGGGTTTTGTTTTTGTTGTACCAGGCACACTTTGTTATTCAGTGGAATCTACTACAGAATTGCTGGAATTATAAAGCTGCAGGACTATCAGTGCACTGTAGAGGGAACCGCACATATCTCATTTTAACACAGAAAGGATTTTTTTTTCTATTTTATATGTTATTCTGGAGGCCAACCTTGGTGCTCCAGCTCCACATATGATTTCTCATGATAGTCTTCAAAGGCAATCAACTTGACATCTCCCATGTTTTCAAAGTGTCATTAAAATAAGGATCTTAAACTTTGTGCCCAACTTGCTGCCACTTCATGATTTTTCTTCAGTTTGCACTTTTTCATACATGTTTAATATTCTTTTCTCTCTTTCTGGTGATTACCTGGGTTGATCTAGCCAGGGAGAGAGCTTCAATGCTTCCCTTCACCTAACAGCCACCGTGGTTATCCCCACTTGATGCTTTCACGCAGGAGAGGGGTCATGGCATGGCTTACAGTACCTGCTCTTATTTGTGACAGAGTGACAGATCAGGCAGGGAAGCTCATAATCCTGCTACACCTCCACTGGTAACTCATAGACTCTGCCTTCCCATTCAGCTCTCCCCCAATTCTGTGGAGAGCCTGGGGAGAGTCTAGAAAACCAGTGTCACCTTGCTACACATTGTTCACCTTTCGCAGCTTCATGCTGTGGTGATCGTGATGGTTGGATTTCATTTGTCCTAGAACAATGTGGGGAACCACGAAGAGGAGACACCATCCCAACCTTTATCCTTCAGCCTCTTCCAGGAGTCCTAGGGAGGTGAATAGACACCTTTCTGGCTGTTCCTATGTACATATGATTTCCTCTAAGTTGGCACAACTGTGATGTCACCATGCCGATATGTAAGATTAAGTGAATTTCACTATCAACACAGAAATGAAACTGACTGGACACTAGCTACTTAGATTGTATAAGCTCTTTGGAGGAGGAACATCTTTTTAATTTTACATGTGTCCTGATCCCTAATAGAGGCCTCCATGTGCTGCTGCAATACAAATAAATATCTAATGCAAAAACAAGACTGAAAAATAGAGAGACCACATTTTATTTAACCACTTGCAATTTCTGTATGTAAGGTTACATGTCAAAATAGTAGGTAAGAGACTTTCATACATAAATGAAGAAAGATTTAGAGAAAAAGGTTTTGGTTAAGGCACTGAAATGGAACTTAGGAAAGCATGGGTCTAGGCCGAGTTCCACAACAGACTTCCTCTATGACCTTGGGCAGATCACTTAATGACTGTGCCTCCATTTCCCAGCTATGAAATGGAGATAATACTCTCTTTCTCCCACCCTTTTATTGTCTTGTCTTTTAAGATTGTAAATTTTTGAGAACAGGTACTGTCTCTTAATACATGTATGTACAACATAATGAGGCCCTAATCTCAGCTGTGGCCTCCCTAGCGCTACCACAATATTAATAATAAAATAACATTTTGAAATTGATAGTGGTCCTTTAAAATCCTTTCCTCATTTTGTTTTGTGGGGTTATCAGAAATGATTTGAAAAATGTCACAAGCTTTGTACTCAGCATTGCCAAGCTCATGATTTTTGATCTCTTGAGTCAGACCTTAAATGCAATGCACTACTGTATCATTGATAATAACATATGTAATTATTAATATTATTAGTGCAATACTGTTAACAAACATGTACATTTTAATGTTATTAATTAATTAATAATGTTATATCTGAATAAAATAGTGGGGGGTTTGGTCTGTCTTTAGATTTTTGAGCTCTCCCTGAGGGGGGGTATGTGTGAGAGAGAAAGATTTTTGGCCCCATGCTTCAGGTGCTCTCACCCCACATCTCTCTATCCACTGCCCAGAAATTAATTTTGTCCCCAACTTTCAAATCAGTTCTGCCCCCACCCTCTCCCAGCCCTCCTTTCCATCAGTTCACCCCCCTTTCTCAGCCACACTTCTGCTCCTCCTGATGTTCTTCACCCCTCTCTTCCAGTCTTTTGGGTTGGGGGCTGCAGTGGGGTCACCTCTCCCCCTTCCAGGTTGGGGGGGAGAGGCAGCTCCAGGAATTCTTTGCCTCCTCCCCTTTCTGAAGACAGGTGGTGCAGGGGAAAGAGGATGGGGGAGGAGCAGAAGAGTATTGCTCTCAGGAAGGGAGAGGAGCCGCTGTTTCTATGCTCACTACTCTCCCTCCCCTCCCATGAACATGGCTTTGGGATGCTAAATTGAGGGGGAGGGGAAACTGCTTTTCCCATAGCAGCTGTGATTGGTTGATCTACCCCAGGAGGCAGGCAAATGGGACAGGCATCCGGGCCTCAAATTTGTTACACGGTGGAGCTTCTCTCTTCATCCCCAGACTGGGCTCTAGCCACAGCTAAAATCCCATCACTGCGAAAAAACCATGAGAGTAGGCAACACTCTTGTTAGAAAACTGTCATCATTTCCCTAAGTTTTGACAAGGTTTACAGACTGCATGGAGAACTGAAAATGGAACAATTGTAGGTGTAAGATTGTAAGGAATATATGCTTCAATGTGGTGACATCTCTAATGTATCGTAAGTGAGGAGTGATTAAGAGTCTTACCTGCATCTCTTTTTGAATGTTAATTAAATTAACACCATATGATATTTTGTAATGGAGTTACTAGAAACTGAATTTGCTTCATACTAGGTTAGTAAATATGTGACTCACATATGAATGCTAGTAAGAGTCAACTGAACTTTATTTGTTGACTCCAGTCATCTGACATGGGTCTGGGTTACTAGCCCTGCCACGTGACAGAAGAATAATACAGTAGGCCTAGCCTACCCATCCAAACAGATATATTACAGCTGCCATCACTGCCTCCACAGGGGAGAGGGACAGTTGTTGTCACCACTGAAGCTCCCATGCAGAGGAGGTATCTGCTGCTGTTCTGTCAGAGATTACACAACCCTATCCTGCTGCCCCTTCCACTCCACCACCATTTCAAGTAGAGAGCTGGGTCATAATTTGGGGGCAAGGCCAGAGGTGTCTTGAGGGGGCGGGTATGGGAGTGTTGCCTTTATGTGACCCTGAATGGGTCTAACTTACAGTGAAGTTGATTGAGAAGGGGATTCTACTTTCGTATGATGGGCAAACTACAGAGTTTGATGTTTTGGATTTGGCTTGAATTTGGCTGAGATGTACACCCTGAAGCTTGAGTGCTAATTGGAATGTCATCTGATGTATCCTAGACTTTTCCATAGGAAAATTTGACATCTCATAATCAGGGTCTCCTCCACATGTGACTTCTGCTTCCAGTCAGGCTGGAAATTTGTTCTTTTTCATACTGCACTATTTTGATTCTTGGGTTTCCAGTTGGTAACTGGAGGTGACATAGGATGGGGAGTAAATTAGGGAGGCAATTAATAAAGAAAAGTTAACTCAATACTCTGGAATGTTTAGGATTGCTCTTAAAAATGGCCAAAGGTGAGGGTGATGGATCTGATTTCTTTTTTCGTTACGCTGATAAACCCATCTGATCATTTTTTCCTGGTCAGATTTGAACTTTACACACTAACAGAAAATATTTGTGGCTAGATTTTGCACTCACACATTGTTATTAGCTTGTAGCAGGTAGGGGTTAAATGGAGTCCCCTGTCAGAAGGGAAAAAAAGGAACTTCCATCCCTATCTGCATTTCTTTCAGAAGAGAAGTCTCTGTGTCAATAGTATTTCCAAACAGATGTACCGATATCATTTATGCTACTCTTAACTCCAGCTCTGGGCAAGAGTTAAAAATCTCTCCCATTTTGCTAATGTATGATTTGTCATAGTCTTTTTTTTTTTTCCAGCATTGCAGAAGCAGTAAGATTGGCTTGGCAGATTGAGTGAGAGAAGGGAAGCACACAGCTACCATTGGGCAGTAAGTGCCAGTTTTAAGTGTTATTTTCTTAGCCAACCAGCAATGCGTATGGCTTCTGGTTTTGAAGTGAATGGAGATGAGCAGGACGTTCAGAGTGATTGATTTGAAATGTGTTTAGATCTGCTGCTCAGCACTGGGAGTGCTACTGTCATTTCAATCACTTTGTAACACGCACACGTGTACAATCCAAACGGCTTCTAAACTGAAGTGCTCAGAAAAATGTCAAGATAGCAATTTGGCGGTAATCAGGGACCTGGACATAAGCACTGTACAGAAATATACAGTAAATTATTGATGTGCTACAAATTGAAAAGTGCATTAAGCAGCATTCGGGTAAACTGGTTCAGATACCAAGAAGTTTTAAATAGAGAATATTCAAAAATATTCAAAATCCCTCTAAAATTAGAGGGAGCAGTGCAGGCATGCGCACACAAATCTATGCCCTCAGAAGCTAGGAATGAAGCCATATCTGTCAGTTCTGTATGCATGCTACTAAAATGCCACTCTGTTTTATATTTCAAATGACTGTCAGCTTTGTTTGCCGTGTGCTTTGCTGCTAATTTACACTGTTTTGGGAATAATGCCAGCTTAAGTTTCCATTGCAAAATATAGATGGCTTCTATTTTTCCCCTTGAGAAAATATCTCTGCAGCGGAATACAACCTATAATAATAAACCTTAAAGGGCTTGATGGACTAAATTTGCAAACAGCGCATAATACGCTAAATTTGAGGGCTGATGGTGTACGAACATTTAGAATCATTTGCAGGTGCATTAAGCCCATGAGCTGCTTTCTGAAAATAATGCAGAGATTTTGCATGTGTGACTTTTCATGCCGCAATTATCAACTTCTTAAAGCACTCAACTCCCATGAATCAGTATAAGGGTGTCACTTGTGCACTAACTAGAGTTCAAAATTTGAGAGCTATTCAGGTAGAACTGTCTGGAAATTCAGTCGGGTGCTCTAGGTCTCAACATGCTGCTTCAAGTAATTAGGGGCTGGATTGTGCCTTTCACTTATGCAGAAGTGCAGATGAATAGGAGGGAATAAGGTCTCCCCTACCACCATCTGTGTGACTCATGTAAGAGACAGCCAGATTTGCAGTTCCTGCACTCCTGAGAGCACAGGATCTTTACCTCAGCTACTCCCCCTAGGAGCAACTGAGCGGAGGGGTTGGGGAGGGGGAGCAAGGGTTCCACCATGTCCATGTTCCATCTGGTCACGCTGTGAGAGAGTATAGTATTCCCATTATGTGGATGGAATAACTGACTCTCCTCCCTCCTCCCTCTCCCGCCCAACACACCACAACTCAGAGACCCACAATGCCTCTAGTGCTCTCCACCCCATCCAGGGTATGGTGCATCTCCACCCCACACCTTGCTATGGAGACTATGCTAAAAGCTCAAGCTAGCACTAACTAAATAAATCGTTAATACTAGCTTAATATAGTAATGGGAAGAAAGAAAGGAAGACAGAGATAGTGGCTACATCAGATGAATTACTAGGTGACATGGGGTGGTAGAAAAGATCGAATTTGCTTGAATAAATATGGGAACCATCCATATACCAACAGGATAATCTGGCAACCCATCTCCTACAATCAATAAAAAGGTGCCAATCATATGTTTGACATGAAATTTATCTGAAAAGGGATCACTTTGAAGGTATGGCTGCATTATTTCCTCAAAAATCAGCACCGGTGTTATGAATTAGAGAGGAGCATCCATAGAAATGTAAGAACAAGAGAAGTGATGATAAAACTTGTAATTAAGTGGGGGCAAAGAAGGACCAAGAAGGTGTGACCTGCAGCTCTTTGTTTGGGAGAATGTCTAGAGAAACTGGAGGCTCATGGGCTTATTAGTGGGAAATAGCCTCATTCTTATGTCACTGGCACAAACCTAGCCTAGTCCAATAGGGACCAAAAATTATTTCCACCCCGTGATTTTTTCGCACAGTGTGTGTAATGTGCAAGATAAAGGTATCCACGTTAGAAAAAACAAACAAAAGAACCCCACAGCTGGTACTCATTGTCACTCTTGTTTACAGTTTTAGCAGAGGAGCTGAAGACTGAAATCCTCTAATTCACAGGATATGTCAGCCCTGCAAAATGTAGGTTGGGATTGGATAGGCAGTGTGTGGAAAGCTTGCCCTACCACTGGCTGTGCTGTTCTTTTCCTGGTCACACATGGAGGATTTTAGACTGCAAGGCTGTCAATCCTGTGTCCTTCACAAGTAGAACAAAAATGAGGGGAAAAATAAAAACATCTGCCTAGTGCTCTGCATATTTACCCAGAGAGGGAGTATGTCACCATTATTAATATACTGCCATTATTTTGTTTATCGCTCAAAAAGTAATTGGTGAGCAAATGTGAGCAGTGTACGTTATGTGTACTTAACACCTACCACCACCCTTTATAGAATTTATATTATATGACTAGTCATCATTCACAGTTAAATAGTACATAAGCCATTATTTATTAAGATGTTTCCTACTCTGTCTGTTCAATGGGCCATAAAATACAGTTGATGAAACAATAATATTTTATTCTATTTTCTCCAAATAAAATGAAGATTGGTGCCCTAATGAAACATGTTCCCAAGAATCATCCTTATCCTACCAGGCATGTGTAGACAACTGCCCACTTCTGATGGACTTTGTTAGTGATGGTTATAGGGGTAAGAACTGGAAGACATTTCAAATCAACCCAAGACAGTTTTCAACAAATGTCAATGGTGTACAGTTCAAACATTCAGCGAGGAAAAGAGTATACACATTTAAATATGTATGATCTTAAAGTAGATGATAGAATACAGAGATTCCAAAGCAAGTTGGGCCAGATCCTCAGCACGAGGGGGAAACTTCCTGCTGCTCCAGTGATGCAGAGCTGCCCTAAAGCCATTTTAGCCAACTTCTGGAGGATTTCTCTAGTGCAGGGGAATCCCCAGGTAGAACAGATTTGCTGTGCCAGCTCCTACTCCAGCCTCTATCCCGGAAGCCAGCACTGGGGGCAGTAGTGGGGAAAAAACAGTGCCCCTGCTATCCCTGGCTGTCAAAATAGCCCCTTACAACCTTCAGGAAACTTTCTCAATGAGTTTAGCCTGGAATGTAGCAGCCCCAAACAGCAGGGTTGCAAAGGCAGTTTACAGCCATCTTTACACCCCATCTCTTCCCCTTATCTCCTCAGCTGCCTCAAAGGATTGAGGCCATGAGCTTGATATTATGGCAGGGGTGGCCAACCTGAGCCTGAGGAGGAGCCAAAGTTAGCAATGCACATTGCCAAAGAACCACAGTAATACGTCAGCAGTGCCCCATCATCTCCCCTCCCAGAGCCTCCTGCCAACTGACAGCCCCACCAATCAGCACCACCCCTTCCCTCCCCATATCTCCTGATCAGCTAGTTTGTGGCGTGCAGGAGGCTCTGGGGGTGGGGAAGCGAGGGCATGGCAGGCTCAGGAGAGGGGGTGGGAAGGGGTGGAATGGGGGTAGGGCCTGTTGCAAAGCCAGGGGTTGAGCAGTGAGCACCGCCTGTCACACTAGAAAGTTGGCGCCTGTAAATCTAGCCCCAGAGTCATTGCCTATACAAGGAGTATATTTACTTCTGAAAAGCCGCATGTGTCTCCAGAGCCACAGGTTGGCCACCCCTGTATTATGGTATGTTGTTTGCATATTAGCACCTGTGGTCACATTTCACAAACCGCATAGCACAGTAGCTCGTTGGGGGTAACTGTACTGCCATCAATGGTTCTAAGTTTTGCCAGGAAAAGTGAAGCAAAATTAATACCCCATTCTGTAAACATTTTATTTTATTTATCGGTAAAATCTCTGTTTGTACTCGTGTCTTGCACAATGGAGTCCTGGTCCATGACTAGGGTTCTTAGGTGCTTCAGTAATATGTAAAAAAGAATCTATATATTTTTACCAACAGTGGCAAATAATCAGAGAGGAAATACTAAAATGCAGGGATAGAAAGCTGTAAATAAAGATGTCTGATCCACAGTTTTCCTGACTGGGTGAGGAATAGCAGCATCATGTTGAAGATGAGATTGTAGGATTTGTGGGTTGAATATTTGTTGGCTGTTTTCACCAGGAATCAGTATCATGTAAAAGTTCAGAGACCCCTTTCAATCTAATATTCTTTTTCCTCATTTTGTTGTTCAGCAGGGGCCAGATTGTGCAATCTATGCCCGTTGGTGAGCAGGTACTCACATAAGTAGTCCCACTAAAGGCAAGGGGCTAAAATTTGGCCCCATAGAAATCAGTGGCAAAGCTCCCATTGATGTCAGTGGAGCCAGCATTTCATCCAAGGAGTTTACAAGGACCCAATTCTACCACCTGTACTCCCTTTGGGACTATTTGTGATGGAATAAGGAACTACGACACAGATGTGATGCTGGCAGAATCAGGCCCTAAATTATTTGAGGATTTGATTTTCTTTAAAAATGATCACAGCAGCACTATGATCATCTACTGTAACTTTCCAGTCAGATATCTTTCCTTCTGGGCTTGTAAATTGTAAAGCCAACATTTGAAACCTACAATCTGTAGCCAGCACTCTTTCTTCTAAAGAGTCAAGTCTTTAGGTCATTAACTCTCAGGTTTTGGAAATCATATCAGAGAGTCTTTTAAAGCTCAAGTCTGAGTCAGGGCTCAGGGTTGAGAAAACATCTGCTTTTAATGTTGCTGCTGGTCTGGTTTGGGGTGAAAATGGAAAAGTTTGTTTTTTGTAAACATCCTAATCATTCTGACCCTTTGGCACATCATAATAAATCACCGGAAATAAATGTGTCTGTGGGGCTAATGTGTCAATAAGAGGACTAAAAATAAAATGGGAGTCAGATTTCAAGGATATCTCCAGGCTAACAATCTTAAATCCAAAGCAATGAGAGCAGAGTGATCAGCAAGTGAGAAGGTCCAAAGAGAGAAGAGAAAGCAAAGGATCTCCTCATGCCAGGTATTAAACTGACAGACTGTCCCCTAGTCTATACATCTACAGAAGGAA